GAATTTCATTAAGAATCTGGTTATAATGCTTATAACGAAGATTTTTCAGAACGACATAATGTGCCACTAATTGGCTATAGCGAAGATCTTCATTATAAAAAAAGTAACATTCTTTATATACAGATTATTCATTATAAACAGATTAAAGTTCGCTATAAAAATTGTACCACCATAAATAAATTCGTAACAGACAGATAGATATTCGTTATAAAAATTGGTGTAACCAAAATCTACAATGGCACATTGTCTTTCAAGAACGTAACGGAAAGTCTTTCTGACCCTTCGATTTTTAAGACAATGTTAGAAAATTTAAATACAAAAAAACGAAAATTAAAACGTAATGCGTTGACAGGCGAACAAAAAAAGAAGTTATGTCTAAAAAAACAGATGAATCCAAAAATTACTGGTATTGAATTAGCTCATGAATTTAACATAGGGGAAGGAACTGTGAGCGGTATCTTACGTGAAAACGATAAGTGGTTAAGTATTGATTCAGACATGCCTAAATTAAGTTTGAAAAAACAACGGTCTCCCGCATGGCCTCAACTCGAAGAATCCTTATCAATATGGATGGATCAAGCTATTCGCTACAATCGTACTCTTTCTGGGCATATTGTGAAAGATAAAGCCAAACGATTTGCAGAATTATTGCAAATAAATAATTTTACTGCATCTGATGGGTGGTTTGAAGGATATAAAAGAAGGTATAATATCAAAGAATACTTAAAATCGGGTGAAGGTAATAGTGCACCTCTCGAAAATCTTACCGAGTTCAGAAGCCGATTACAAGATGTTATTAAAAGTTATGAGTTGAGGGACGTATTTAACTGTGACGAGACGGCACTTTTCTGGCTTTTAGAACCAAGCAGGACATTATCCAAAGGAGTAGTTGTTGGGACAAAAAAATCTAAAGAACGCGTGACGGTGTTGCTTACTTGTAGTGCATTGGGTGAAAAAATTAAACCAACTTTTATCTATCGCTACGAAAATCCACGAGCATTAAAGAATATTCAAAAGTCAACCCTCCCGGTCTTTTATTACTGGAACAATAAAGCGTGGATGCAACGTTCCATTTGGTCCGCCTTCTTAAAACAATTGAATCAAATTATGAAAAATCAAAACCGACATATATTATTACTTGTCGATAACGCTCCGTGTCACCGAATTGATGAAGAACTCCATCTTACAAACGTTACCGTCCACCCTCTACCAGAAAATACAACAGCTCATCTTCAACCGTGTGGCGCCGGAATCATTTGTAGTTTCAAGGTGCAAATAATATATGCTGTATGCTTAATATTAAAGCTTAAGTTTACTAATCTGTTAACGTACTTTCCAGGTTAAATATAGAAAACTACTTTGCGAAAATCGTATTCGAGAATTTGATAAAGAAATAGAAACTGGAGTATCTCCTTCAAAACTCTCTATACTGGATGCTATTCAGATGACAGCCACCGCTTGGGATAACGTCACAGCAAATACTATAAAAAATTGCTGGATCAAAACAGGAATTCTTCCGTCATCAGACGACGACGCTGAGATTATTTTATCGGAGCTAGAGGAAAATTCCCAACGTGATAACCGTCAAATACAACATTCCATTGATAGATTGTTAGGAAATGATAATAATGTTTCGGCTAGCGATTTTTTGTCTATCGATGATAAAATATTATCGATTGAATATGAAGAAAGTACTGACCAGGAAATCGTCGATTGCGTTCTTGGAAAAGATACAGAAGTGGAAGTTGACGAAATTATTGGGGTCACCAACAATGAGGCGATTGAATGTCTCGAGAAGTTGCAAAATTATCTTGTTCAGGAAAATAATACCTCAATCTCATTCGAATGGATTCGCCAGCTTGATAATATTAAAAACAATATTATCAATAATATTATGTCTAAAAAAGTGCAGACGCAATTGGAGCAGTACTTCGATTTTAACGTTAATAATTAGACATTTTTCAATTGTTGCTTT